AACTCTTGCGACCCCATGGACTATACCACCAGGCTCCTCTGTCTATGGGATTCTCCAGGCAAGAATATTGGAGTGGATTGCCATTTCCTTCTCCAGGGGATCTTTCAGACCCAGGAATCAAACCCAGCCTCCTGCATTGCAGGAGGATTTTTTACCAACTGAGCTAGAAGTATTCCCACTTCTAAACCCCACTCTTATTTTCTTATTAATCAAGGATCTCTAGGCCTTGGCCTCCTTTCTTCTCCTCTTAGTAACTGCCACTACCCATGTTGTCCCTGGCTATCTTGTTCCTTCCAATCTGCTACAGTCTGGGTATGAGCTCCCCGCCCTCCTTCATTCATTTCTAGTCTGAAAGGATGAGACTCTTCCACTGGTATATAAACACAGGTGAGGCTAGCTTATGTAGGGAAAAGAAAAGTTATACGACTTTCACTAGAGCACGGGGCAAGGGAAGAAGCAAGAGGAGAGAAAAGGGACCAGATCATGGAAGGCCTAGAAGGTTCTGCTGGGACAGTGGATTTTATCCTAAGGGCAAGAATGATCCAATGAGATAGAATTTAAGCCAGGATGGACCTGATCATATTTTCATTTTATAATGAGGGCTTGGGAGTTTGGGTTGGAAAGCCAGATAATTTAAAAGACATAAACGAGTCTCTATAAAAGCTGTGGTAACAGGGATGGAGGGAAAAAATTAATTAGAGGAGGTATTAAGGAGGCAGATTCAGCAGGATGTGGTGGGAAATGAGGGGCAGAGGGAGGCAAGGACTTGGGGTTTCTGACTTGGAAGACAGAATGAATGATTGACATAATAAGAGGAGCTCTTGGCTATGGAGAAAGAGAATAAGCTAGAAAAGGTAAGCAAATGGACTCTGCTAGAGCCTGCAGAAGCAATGTGGCCCTGCTGATGCTTTGATTTTAGCTCAGTGAGACTCATTTCAAATTTCTGACCTTCAGAACTGTAAGATGGTAAATTAGTGCTGCTTAAGAAATAAGTTTATGATAATTTGTTACAACAGTAATAGGGAGGCAGGGTAGCTCAGCTGGTAAAGAATCCGCCTGCAATGTAGGAGACCCCTGTTCAATTTCTGGGTTGGGAAGATACCCTGGAGAAACGACAGGCTACACATTCCAGTAATCTTGAGCTTCCCTAGTGGTTCAGATGGTAAAGAATCCGGCTGTGATGTGGGAGACCTGAGTTTGATCCCTGGGTTGGGAAGATCCCCTGGAGGAAGTCATGGCAACCCATTCCAGTATTCTTTTTTTTTTTTTTTTCACTCAAGTATTCTTGCCTGGAGAATCCAATGGGCAGAGTTGCCTGGCAGTCTGCAGTCCATGGGGTCACAAAGAGTCGGACACAACTGAGAGACTAAGACAAGCACAATAGGGAAGCAACACAGGCTGTCTTAGTGCCCGAGGTTTCTGTGAGCTCAGACAGGCTGCTCTGGGGCTGCAGCGAAGCAGGACTTCTCCCTCTTTCTACACTGCTCCCTTCGTCTCCTTTCCACACATGTTGGGGCACCAAGGGCTTTTCCAAGTAAGCATTCTGCATGTGGAACTCTGTCTTGGAGCCTTCTCCCCAGAAAACCAACCTGGGGCAGATGGCAACAGCTCATGTTAACGTCCCGTACGATTGCAAATATGTGAAAAACAAATATATAAAGGTAAATTTTATCACTGCCAGTGTCACTCAAAAAGCACAGTGCCTGACACGAATTGCCCTGGCCGATAGTAAGGCAATGCGAAGTAAGTATGAAGAACATGAGCTTGACAGGAAGATATGAGCTCAATGCTAGCACCTTTACTTGGTCACATTACTTAAACATTTTGGCTTTAACTCCCCCCAATTACCATTCCCTTCCCCCTAAATAGGAATGAAAAATAAGTTGGCTTAAAGCTCAACATTCAGAAAACTAAGATCATGGCATCTGGTCTCATTACTTCATGGGAAATAGATGGGGAAACAGTGGAAACAGTGTCAGACTTTATTTTGGGGGACTCCAAAATCACTGCAGATAGTGATCGCAGCCAAGAAATTAAAAGACACTTACTCCTTGGAAGGAAAGTTATGACCAACCTAGACAGCATATTTAAAAGCAGAGACATTACTTTGCCAACAAAGATCCATCTAGTCAAGGCTATGGTTTTTCCAGTGGTCATGTATGGATGTGAGAGTTGGACGGTGAAGAAAGCTGAGCGCCAAAGAATTGATGCTTTTGAACTGTGGTGTTGGAGAAGACTCTTGAGAGTCCCTTGGACTGCAAGGAGATCCAACCAGTCCATCCTAAAGCAGATCAGTCCTGGGTGTTCATTGGAAGGACTGATGTTGAAGCTGAAACTCTGATACTTTGGCCACCTCATGCGAAGAGCTGTCTCATTGGAAAAGACCCTAATGCTGGGAAAGATTGGGGGCAGGAGGAGAAGGGGATGACAGAGGATGAGATGGTTGGATGGCATCACCGACTCGATGGACATGGGTTTGGGTGGACTCTGGGAATTGCTGATGGACAGGGAGGACTGGCATGCTGCGATTCATGGGGTCACAAAGAGTCGGACACAACCGAGCGACTGAACTGAATTGAACTAGGTAGCATTAAAGTATTCAAATACGATTACTGATCTGTGATAAGGGCTCGATGAAAGAGAATCAAACTTCCTCAACTCTACCTCACTGTTCTAGTTGGGAAGGCGAGTCACCATTAAGCTACACAAGTCTGCTGTCAAAATGTGTGCTTCACGCTAGGAGAGCTCTGTGAGATCAGTGTGACCTGGGAGGTGATGGAAGGCTTCTTGAGGGGACATGGAACTTAGCTGGGCTCAAAAAAACATGTGAAAGAAAGGTCAGGAGAAGGTGCCATAGGGGTCCTCAATCCACCTCTAGTGTGTAGTTCTAGTTCAAGCAAACAGAATTTGGAAGAGCAAGTACTCAATAATCAAGTTTGCTCAGTGCTGCACTTTTAGTTGTTTTAACTGGCAACGTTAGACATGGGAGACAGTATATCTTATAATATAAACAGCATCTTTTGATATGTTCTACATAAATATGAAATATTATTATAACCAAAAGGAAACTGAGAAGGAAAAAAACTGGATAAAAACAGCAATGTTGAGCTATGCACTCATCACAGAAAATACATAAAACCTTTGAAATTATGACATAACCAGTACTGTTAGATTTATGGTTATGGGTATTGCTCTCATTCCAAGCTCCTACTTTACATTTAATCATCTTTATATTCATACTGCATCTCCATTTTCAATGTCTTACAAATTTCTCCCTCTTCTAGTAACCTTTCCAGCTGAAATTTCATATGCTTCATATTAGCTCAGAAGCAATGTCTTTTCTGGAAAGTTGAACCTATCTGTTCAGCCACTTCTGAGTCACTCAAGCATGAAGGAAGGTTGTTTAGGAAATTTGTCAAGATCCACTTTTTAAGTGTTCAGAGTTAATTCAAGATGATTTAAATTTAAACCTCCCAGAGCTGTCATGCATGTGTTCTCTCAGGAGAAAAACATTCTTTGCTTTGAGATATAACTGGTTGAGGTTTAAACTCCACTTTCTGTATCAATGGAGTGTGGTTAGGAAGAGATCTGCTCAGATCCTGGAAACCTCTTTGGGTTTCCGGAACCTTCATGCATATTTATAAGAATGCTTTATCCTTTCCACCGCCGGTCCCCGCCCTCCGCCATTATCAACTTTCTAGGAGAACTTGAAGTTAACAGCTCGTGTCTGACTGTTCCTTGTCAGGCAATAATAAAAGTTTTATTCTATGAAAAATTGAAAAAATAAGGATTTAAAATATTTATTTATTGAAACTTGGGCATTAGTCTTTGTTCAATGGTAGACAGGAATATCTGTATTGCTAACAGCATCTTTTACGAAAACATTATTGGATATATTAACAAGACTTCTCAGATGGCATAATATTCATCATAAGATTATAAGTGCTCTGAAATACTGGGAGTGTACAAAATTAAAAAGAATTAAAGTAGGAATAGGTGGTGAATGGCATAGAGGCAGGAGAGAAGAGGATAGAGACATCTTCTGACCTGGCAGGCAGACTCAGGGCCAATGGATGTGTTCCAGTTATCTGTTGTGGCATGGCTTCCCTGATAGCTCAGTTGGTAAAGAATCCACCTGCAATGTAGGAGATGCCAGTTCGATTCCTGGGTCAGGAAGATCCCCTGGAGAAGGGATAGGCTACCCACTCCAGAATTCTTGGGCTTTCCTTGTGGCTCAGCTGGTAAAGAATCTGCCGGCAATGCGGGAGAACTGGGTTCGATCCCTGGGTTGGGATGATCCCCTGGAGAAGGGAAAGGCTACCCACTGCTGTATTCTGGCCTGGAGAATCCATGGACCGTATAGTCCATGGGGTGGCAAAGAGTTGGATACGAATGAGCGATTATCAGTTTCACTACTGTGGCATAACAAACCACCTCAAAACGTATGGTCGGCTAGGCTCAGTTAGACAGTTATCTCTCAGGGTCTCCCTTGTAGTTGCAGCGACCAGGGCTGGCTAGCACACTCCGAGGGTTCCCTCCCTCACACTCAGGTGTAGCACCTGAGCTGGGAATGAAGGGGTGCTGGGGCCTGGAAAGAGGAGATAACGGCCTCAAAGGCCCAGGCTGGACCACCTGACTTCGGGGAAAACAAAACTGTACTTAAAATCCCACCCCACTCTGGGCAGAGGGCATCAGCCCAAGACTTTCACCCCCCTGCCCGGGACCCTCCCGTCACCACCCCCAGCTCCCTAACTCCACGAGCCACCTCCCCCTCCTCCCCCTCCCCTGAGGGGCCTGCTCCGGCGACTTCGAGCGCCCATCTTCCCAGCCGGAACAAAACCCGGAGCAGTGGAATCCCGCTCCCGGAGCGCCCCGGCGGCCACTGGGCATGCTCCGTCGTCAGTCAGGCTCTGGGCCGGGAGCGGCGAGCGCCGTGCGCGCCGGCGGGTTCCTCCCGCGGCCGCGCGTCCTCCGCCTCCCGAGTCGGGGGCGGGCGCGTGATGGCGGCGGCGGCGGCGGGCTGCGCTAGTGGCGGGAGCAGCAGCAGCGACACGTCGAGCACCGGCGAGGAGGAGAGGATGCGGCGCCTCTTCCAGACCTGCGACGGCGACGGCGACGGCTACATCAGCAGGTACTCGGGGAGGTCCGCGGGACGGGCAGGGGCGCGACCCGCCTCTCCGCGCTGCCCGAGACCCCTCCTCCGCCCCCTCGCCCCCAACTTCCGCCAAGTTGCTCCGAAGCTCACGGGAATAGTTGCCCGCGACTCTGAGAGCGCGTCGCCGGCTCGGCCACTGAGGCCGAGGAGCTGCTCAGCTCGTCTTCTGGAGGTGCCGGTTGGTGCAACTTCCCCAGCGCTGCCTTTGTCTGGGCACAGGGAGACTTCTCTTTCGGATGCGGGTCGTCCCCCGGGCCTGGCAGCGCTCCTGCCTCTGGGGAGACCAGTGCGAGCCGCTTGCCCAGGTAGAAGGGGCTGCTCTGCAGCCTCAGGCTGTCAAGACGCTGTGGCCACCGGGCAGCGGTCTTGTCCGTTTGCTCGGCGGACAGACCCGGGACCGCACCGGGAGAGGGATGTGCGGTCAGCGACAGAGCTGAGCAGGGAAACAACCTGTGAAAAACTTTCGTGTGCCACAGAGACCCTGCGTTCCAAACTTCGGAGCCCCCAAAGTGGGCATATTAGTAGTTTGCCGCTCAGTACTGATCTAAACCTCTTAGCCTGAGGGGAGCGAAGCGTACAGGCGCAAAGTGGGGGCTGAGAGGCGAGGCTGTAATATAGACCCCACTCCCTACCCCGGCTCAGGGCTCTAACCAGGTGAGCCTCCTGGGGGCCTCGGGGCGCCTCTGCGGGATCACTTCAAACCGTCGCTGTGCTGGCTTCCAGCTCCCCTGCAGGGGCGGTTTTGCAACGTCAAGCGGCAAGGCTTGGCAAAATAATTACTCTGCCCAAATGTTTATCACGTATCAGACACTGATGGTGAGGAAGGCAATCGTAACGTCTTCCAGATTGCTCATATGAAAGGTCGGCACTGAGCGCTGACGCCTGTACGCGCCCAAATTTGAATTGCCTTCAAAGGTGTAGGCAGCCTAAATTGTGTGTTACATGTTTCTTTAGCCTTTGTCTTAGTGATGGTGAAGATACTCTGAAAATCCCAGGGTGCCTCCTACTGATTGTACTTGCTTACACAGAGAAAAAGAGTAAGGAATCCCTCCCCACCCCCAAATTTAAAAAAAAAACAAACAAACTTTGAAATAGGGGATTAGACATGTGAAATTTAAAAAAAAGACAGTTAAAAAAATTCTTTAAGACTTAATTATGATAATTCCTAGCTGAATTTTATTACTTTTTTGAAGTTTCATTGGAAAACATTAGAAAGCTATCTGAACACTTTATGAAGTAATTATGTCCTGAAATGAAGAAATATGTAACTCCAGGTGACCTTGTATACATTTTCATCTGGAAGTCTTTCCCTTTTTTGGTTCCAGAATAAAAAAATTTCATCATATAGTTTAGTATTTTGTTGTTGTTATTTCCCTACCTGAAAGTAGGGTAGGAAAAACTCATTTGCAATAATAAAATCTATCTGCATTCTTCATGTTAGAATGCAAAAAGACATTAATTTCATATGGGCATGAGTGCACATAGAAAATGACCAAAATTCTCTCAATCTAGGGCTTCCCTGGTAGCTCAGAGGGTAAACTGTCTGCCTGCAATGCGGGAGACCGGGGTTCAATCCCTGGGTTGGGAAGATCCCCTGGAGAAGGAAATGGCAATCCCCTCCAGTATTCTTGCCTAGAGAATCCCCATGGGCAGAGGAGCCTGGTGGGCTACAGTTCACAGGATCGCAAAGAGTCGGACACAATTGAGCGACTTCACTTCTCTCCTTCCTTTCCTTTAATCCTATTAATATTGTTGCTTTATCTTAACTACACTTTCTATATAAATGTTCATATTATTTTGAATGGGAACTGTGTGGACCCTGAAGAAGAACGAATTTTGCTTGAAAACTTTGTTTTGGAAGGTGAAGCATTATAAGGGCATGATGTTAAAGAAGGAATTTTAGAGGCAGATAGAAATTCAGTGGAGTAAAAGTTGGAAAAAAATCTTTATCCTTTGAGCCGCATCACTTTAATATATCTCCTTGAAAGTTGGAAGGTATGTTCGGTAGTAGTTCAGTTCAGTCGCTCAGTTGTGTCCGACTCTGTGACCCCGTGAACCGCAGCATGCCAGGCCTCACTGTCTATCACCAACTCCTGGAGTTTACCGAAAGTCCTGTTCATTGAGTAGATGATGCCATCCAACCATCTCATCCTCTGTCATCCCCTTCTCCTCCTGCCCTCAATCTTTCCCAGCATCAGGGTCTTTTCTAATGAGTCAGCTTTTCGCATGAGGTGGCCAAAGTATTGGAGTTTCAGCTTCAACATCAGTCCTTCCAATGAACACCCAGGACTGATCTCCTTTAGGATGGACTGGTTGGATCTCCTTGCAGTCCAAGGGACTCTCAAGAGTCTTCTCCAACACCACAGTTCAAAAGCATCAATTCTTCGGCGCTCAGCTTTCTTTATAGTCCAACTCTCATATCCATACACTTCTTTATAGTCCAACTCTCATATCCATACATGACTACTGGAAAAACCATAGCCTTGACTAGACGGATCTTTGTTGGAAAAGTAATGTCTCTGCTTTTTAATATGCTGTCTAGGTTGGTCATAACTTTCCTTCCAAGGAGTAAGTGTCTTTTAATTTCATGGCTGCAATCACCATCTGCAGTGATTTTGGAGCACCAAAAAATAAATTCTGTCACTGTTTCCCCATCTATTTGCCATGAAATGATGGGACCAGATGCCATGATCTTAGTTTTCTGAATGTTGAGCTTTAGCCAATTTTTTCACTCTCCTCTTTCACTTTCATCAAGAGGCTCTTTAATTCTTCTTCAATCTCTGCCATAAGGGTGGTGTCATCTGCATATCTGAGGTTATTGATATTTCTCCTGGCAATCTTGATTCCAGCTTGTGCTTCCTCCAGCCCAGCGTTTCTCATGATGTACTCTGCGTGTAAGTTAAATAAGCAGGGTGACAATACACAGCCTGACGTACTCCTTTTCCTTTTTGGAACCAATCTGTTGTTCCATGTCCAGTTCTAACTGTTGCTTCCTGACCTGCATACAGGTTTCTCAAAAGGCAGGTCAGGTGGTCTGGTATTCCTATCTCTTTCAGAATTTTCCAGTTTATTATGACCCACCCAGTCAAAGGCTTTGGCATAGTCATTAAAGCAGAAATAGATATTTTTCTGGAACTCTCTTACTTTCTCGATGATCCAGCGGATGTTGGCAATTTGATCTCTGGTTCCTCTGCCTTTTCTAAAAGCAGCTTGAACATCTGGAAGTTCACGGTTCACGTATTGCAGAGCCAAAGCTTTAGCTGTGGGCTGAGTTGCTGTGGAAGTTATATTTAGGCTGTGACAAAATTTCCATATAAGAGGAGTTCAAGGTAGCGATTTCATTGAGAGGCGGAAGCATAGACCTTGTCCAGAAGTGTCTTTCCACAGCAAGCACAGTGTTCCTGGAGCACATGTTTACTTGGTGTGCTGGAGGAGTGAGGTTAATGAAAATGACTCCATTTCCAGTGTCACTCCTTCATGCTGCCACTATTTAATGCCTTTACTGACCTCTCTACAGTGTGTGGTAAGGTGTGGAATGCTGTGAATTTTCTCTTATATTAAATTTGAGAGTTGGGCTTTCTGACATAAAACCTTGAATTCTTTAAAAGATGTCAAGTTTGTGCTAACATCAATGGCTGTATCCGTTAGGATTTCATTTTGGCTGTACATAATAGAATCCATAAGTCAAATAAGGGTTGATTGTAACACCTAGAAGTCTGGAGGTGGGCCAGCCAGGCTGAGACAGCAGCTCCATGATGGGATCAACGCACAGCTTCTTTCTTTCTGTATCACCGTTCTTCACATGGAGAATTCATCTTCATGGTTATCTCACAGTCCTAAAATGATGACTCTGTGTCCAACTTCATCTCCAAGTTCTGGGAAGGAAGATGTAAGAGGAAGCTAAAGTAGATGATGCCTGTATCATCAAAGCACAGCTTTCCCAGATCCCTTAATTGACGTAATGTTGGTCAAACTCTACATGCAGAAGAGTTTAAGGAAGCATGTCATCCATTTGGGTACATTGCCTCCTATACAGAAGCTGAGTTCCATTATTAAGAGTGAGAAATGGTTTTTGTCATACATTGACATGAATGTATTGACAAAAACCACTACAATATTGTAAAGTAATTAGCCTCCAACTAATAAAAATAAATGGAAAAAAAAAAGAGTGAGAAATGGATATTGGGTGGGCAAGTAGCAACCAATACATGTAATAAAACTCCCCATATTAACCCAAATTCAACTGTATTGGCTCCAGTCCTTTACCCTGGCCCTCATATCCTCAAAGAGGAGTGAACTGGAGGTGTTGTGTTCAGAGGAAGGATAAGGAGAAGAGAGCCTGAGGCCCTGGGGACATGTCAAGGTGAACTATTTCAGGAAGAAGGGAAATAAAAAGTTAGGGCTTTGTGTCTTAAATATCCTCTAAGCCCAGCCTTCCCCATCAAACTGACAAAAAAGGTATTAGCTAACTGGAGATTGCTGGAATTGTTGCTGCTGCCCAGGAACTCCCAGGCTGCCAGGGGAATCCAGACTCATTCCCAAGGATACTTAAACTGCCATGAGGTGGAGCCAGGCCACAGCTTGAAGAGGGAGGAATTCGGGCTGCACACTGACTGCTGCAGACTCCTCTGGCGCCTTCATTAACCTCACGGTGACTTCATGCCACACTTTCTGGTATTGAGTTTTGCGGGCCCTAGATATCATGTAATTAGAGATGGTGGTTTTACTTTATTGGCTGACATTAATTTCCCTTTGGAATTCTAAAGCTTTTGTCTTTATCCTTCAGCTTAAGAAACTGTTTATGTTGCACATTTTTGACAAATATCATAAACCATCGCTTTCATTTAGACTTAGTCTTCAAACTTCAGCTCAGACTTTATTGCCTTCAAGAGAGCTTTCATGACCGCTATATCAAAGTGAATTAGGGACTTCCCTGGGGTCCAGTGGTTAGGACTCTGTGCTTTCACTGCTGAGGG